TTTTGATTAATTTTCGATTTCCTAAAATTGTTTTCACAGCCGATGTGGAGAAGATGTATCGTCAGGTGATGGTAGCTCCTGAAGATCAGAATTATCAATTGATACATTGGCGATACAATTCCAGTGATAAACTGCGCACGTACAAGTTGAAAACAGTTACTTATGGTCTTTCCTCTGCTTCATTTTTAGCAACTCGATGTCTGAAGCAGGTAGCTTTGGATTCTAAAGAGGAATCAGATGTATTTCGTATATTTCAAGAAGATATGTACATGGACGACTTATTGTCGGGTGCAAATACAGTTGATGATGTAGTATCTGTCTGCAAGAAAATATCTTCAATTTTACATGCACGCGGTTTTGATTTGAGGAAGTGGAATTCAAATTTTGTAGAATTCTTAACTGAATTTAAGGAACATTGTTCACTTGAAATTCTGATTTCGAGATATCTCCTAATTCGAAGTTCGAAAGTTTTAGGACTTTTTTGGAATTCAACTACTGATACCTCTGGTTTTAAGCTATATACTGCACATCAACGCAACCTATAACAAAAAGACGCATATTAGCAGAATCGCTCGCATTTTCGATCCTTTAGATCTCTTATCTCCTTGCACTATATTGATTAAAATATTCTCTATCAAAAGGCTATGGTTAGTTAAAGGCGAACTGGGATTCAGTTGTTCCCCAGCATATCTCAGATGATTGGTTTAAATTTCAAGAGATTCATTCAAATCAATAATTGTGAAATTCCGAGATGTGTCATACTTACAACAACGGACAGTGTTATCCAACTACATGGATTTTCTGATGCATCTTCGCAGGCCTATGCGGCAGCCATTTACTGTCGCCAAAAATACAATGGTACGGTTAAGGTTAATCTTTTGGTATCAAAGACTAAAGTCGCGCCTACAAAGCAAGTATCCGTTCCTCGATTAGAACTATGTGCTGCGTCTTTGTTGACCAGATTAATGCGATCTCTATTGAACATTTTAAAGAAGTTTGATTTTGAAATCGTTGCGTGGACGGATTCCAAGGCAGTTCTGTCTGGCTATCAGCTCATCCACGTAAGTGGAAAACTTTGTGGCAAACAGAACATCTCAAATCATAGAAGTGATACCTATTAAACATTGGAATCATGTTCCCTCTAAACAGAATCCTGCAGACATTGCTTCTCGTGGTATTGAACCTCAACTCCTACCAAATTGTACTTTGTGGTGGAATGGTCCACCATGGTTGCGTCAGGAAGAGGAAAAATGGCCTAAACATGAATTAAAATCTGAAAATGATACTGAAGTAAAGGCCGAACAAAGATCTGATCCTATTTTATTTCTCATATACGTGAATCGAATGATTTATTAGCTAATTTGTTCGAACATTATTCTTCGCGTTGTAAAATTATTCGTATTCTGGCTTACTGCCAAAGATTTATTACTAACTACAAGAAGCATCTTGTTACTCAGCACATTTCACGTAGTGGTATTAACTCCAGCTGCCTTATGCCGCTAACATTTCTAGAGATTCGAGTAGCAGAAAATTTCATTATTCGTTGGATTTAGGATTATTATTTCGAAGATGATTTGCAATGTATTAAGGGAGATAAACCTTTACCCAAGAAGAGCCAACTATGTTCTCTATATCCATTCGTAGATAAAGATGGTCTCTTACGGGTGGGAGGGCGTCTTCGAAATTCATCTTTAGCATTTAACATCAAATATCCTGTCATACTTCCTTCTCGACATAAATTTAGCGAATTACTAGTGAAAGAACTTCATATTACTTACCTTCATGCTGGTCCTTCTTTATTATCCCATCTCATCAGGCAATCTTATTGGATAATTGGAGGAAAGAGACTGATTCGCAGTTGTGTCAACCATTGCTTAATATGTCATCGATTTAAAGCTGTTTCAAATCCGCAATTGATGGGTGACTTACCTGAACATCGTGTGACTTTGGAACGACCTTTTACGCATCTGGTGTGGATTACGCTGGTCCTATTACCATGAAATTTAATAAGGGTCGTGGTTCTAAAATAACGAAAGGTTATATAGCTCTGTTTGTTTGCTTGTCGACTAAAGCTGTGCATATAGAAGCAGTCAGTGAGCTGACGGCAGACTCGTTTATCGCGGCACTTAGACGTTTCATTTCACGTCGCGGTGCACCACGGCACATTTACAGTGACAACGGTACCAATTTTGTGGGAGCATGCCGAAAACTACAAGAACTAAATCAGATTTGGTCTTCCTTAGATGCAACAGAATCGGTTTCCCGAGAACTAACTAAGTCATCTACTGAATGGCATTTTTATACCCCCTGCTTCGCCCCACTTCGGAGGAATATGGGAAGCCGGCATTCGCTCAGCGAAATTTCATCTGAGAAGAGTATTGAAAGACACTCTTTTAACTTACGAAGAGTTGTCAACGCTACTTACCCAAATCGAGGCTATTTTGAATTCACGTCCACTTACTTACGTGAACAATTCTGATATTGACTCTATTAATGTTTTAATCCCTTCTCATTTTATTACATGTGATACTTTGACTTCCTTTCCAGAGACACATCAGTCTGTTCGCACAAGGAGTTCTAGATGGGAACTTGTACAGAATCTACGTCTGGGATTCTGCAATCGATGGCAAAGGGAATATTTGACTTCTCTTCAGCAGAGATCCAAGTGGCAGCACAATAGACCCAATCTAAGATTGACACGGTGGTTCTTGTCATCGAAGATGGATCTCCACCTCTAGCTTGGCCTATAGGACGGATCATCGATGTCCATCCGGGCAAAGACGGCTTAGTTCGCGTAGCCACAGTCAAAACTAAAACTGGTGTCTTAAAAAGACCAATTAATAAACTTTCACCTTTTCCTGTGTATCAGGACTAAACCTGATAGGGTGGGAGTATGTTCACTTCCACGCCTGTCGAATTAATTTCTACCTTTTCGTTGCCCTGCGTTGGCAACACGCTTTTGAGGTTTGTCGTTCGTAGAATTCAGTCGCTAAAAGCGTAGCTGGCCTATAACGGTTGTAATTCTTATTTTATGCTTATCTGTACTCCTGAATTATTACTAAATGTTTACGTGTGAATGTTATATCATTAAAGGTATTGAGTTTGATTTGAATACACTAAGAGTCGTTGAATTTATTAAGGATATTTAAAACCGAAACTGCGTCATCCATGTCGGCGCCATTCTAATACGAGGAACGTAAAAACTGTCATTTTAGCTCTAGTGTACGAAGAGTTCTTATTTACTTATTTTAAACTATATTTGAATTTAAGTAATATTTTAATTCTTTGAAATGTTGGTATGATGGTTTTTAAACGTTGGTATGATGGTTTTTTTTATTTCGATATTCAGGTTAAGTAATATTTTAATCCAATTAAACGTTGGCGCAATGTTTTTATAGCGGTGTTTTTATTCTATTTCATTGCTATATGAAAGTAATAATTTAACCTTACTTTAGTATTTTATACTCGTAGTAAATGTATTTATTTACATTTTTCTGCCATCTTAAAAAACAACGTTTTCAACAAAAAACGTAATCCAAACGTAACAATATTTTATTTTTTTTAAAGTTTCGAATACTTTACTATGGGCAAAATACGTAAAAACAGCGTTTTTCAAGATGGCTGACGATTGTTCAAATCGCGCCAACAATTGCGCGAAAGTAAATCGCGAAAAATCCGTGCAACCGTCTACCAAAGTAGCACCTTAATTTCGTTTGGGCAATTTGCGTTGATTCACTAAAAACGGCCAATCTCTTGTTGCAACCAAATATTAGAGCTCTGTATTGTACTTAAAGAAACTAAATAATGAACGCATTGAAAAAGCAAAGGTACCTACAGCTATCAAATTTTAAATCACATAGTCCTCCAACCGAACATGGGCACTTATCAGCCGAATTTTGAATTTCGAATTTGTTTCATTATCTATTTCAAATTTGGTAACTTTATCGAATTTTTGACTAACAAACTCAACGATTTCAAAGCGAGCAGTGGCAACACTGTACGAAAAAAAAATTTATCTCCATCGCGTGAGATTGTGTATTGGAAATTCTAAAGATATGCTGTTTTAAATATTGTTGCGTACGTACGGGTTCATAATGAAATAAATGCACAAGTCCGATGAAAAGTAAATAAAATTAATTTTTATCACAAATAATAAACAAAGTGTTTAAATCTCCTTAGAGATATTCGTACAATGTCCCAATATGTCACAGTACTTATCTTTCAAACTACTAAACCGTTCAACAGAACTTAATTCAAAACAGAGGAAGCTAATCTGATTTCACCGCAAATTCGCTACACCAAACAACAAAAGTTATCCAAACAACTACTGAATTGAGATATTTTCCTCCTACCTTTTATAAGCTTTTTAATCAGCACGAGAATATTCTGGCATTTTCTCGATTTTTATGAATAGCAAAAGAGTACAATTACGAGGTATCTGTTTATTATAAATATTCAATGCGCGTGCTCCAGTATTTTAATTTTTCCGGGGTAGCTTTTTCTTCAAATAAGTCTCGCGCTGCATTGCAAGGGAATATAAAACAATTTTAATTACAAACTCTACTAAAAATAGCTAAATAAATTCAAAAACTGTAAAAATAGTTTGTGATATTGTTGTTGAATTGAATTTTATCTGGTGTAAGTGCGAAGAACACAATATTTAATAAATAAAGGTAACACACAAAATTTTTAAAAAATGTCATTTTGGGTGTAACATAAAATTTGAAAGCTTTCAGATTTTCTTTTTTCAACATTTTTAAATTTAAAATCACATAATTTTTCAGAACCGATCATTTTAAAATAACTCGAAAATGTGTTCTGAGGTATTGTGTGATCTCTCACACTTAGGTTTTTATCCCGCATAAATTTAATTTTATTCTTATTTAAATATCTAAATTTGTCACATATCACTCGGATTTTATCATCTTAACGTTGGCGTGGCAGCTACTATCTGCGGTAAACAGGGAAATTCCCGCACGGTGAAATAAAAGCCAGGTGAAAGTTTTTTCTCCCGTCAATTTCTTGTCTGTTTATTCCACCTTGTTGACTGCTGTTCGCAAAGTGTAAGTTTTCAATTACCAACGATCAAAAAAGTGTATCTGTATTTATTTAACATTTTCATGCAATTAATAAGGAAGTTTTTTTAGCGATTTAAATTTATATTTCGGCTATTTGCATAAAGTGGATATTTTTATAAATACCTCAAATGAAATTTTTTACAAATATATTGCTTATATTATTTAAATTGGCAGGATTATGGTTGATTTTTAGCGTGTTTTGAGATTAATACTTATTGCAAAAAATTTGCGGTTTTGGAATTCAATTGTAATTTCATGAAATCCGTTTTTTGAGGATTCAAAACCTTTTAATGTTAGATTATTAATTTAAAAAATTCAGAATTAAAATATGTTAACAGTGCAGGTAAGTTAATTTATATATGAGAACTATAAAATTATCTATAATATTAAATTTAAGCTCAGTACTGTAGATTCAAAATACTTCAAATATGAACCGCCAGCGGCCGAGCGGTAAAAGCCGCTGGACACTGGTTGTTCGGTCCGGGTCTCAACAAACTGGCTGGCTGCAACGGCGTTCTCGTAGCCTTGCCCATGCGCAATGTGGATACGAGATACTTTCTCTTAAATAGACCTCCATGGAGCATCCCCTTTCCATGTAGTGCCTAAAGGCGGAGCACGTAATAATTTAAAAAAAAATTAAGTACTTTATTTATATATGAATAGCTTAGCATATATTCCAAGATACTAGTTGACGGTAATATTAACATTGTAATTGGATTATAATTATAACATGAGTTTATTTTAATTAATTGTGTTTCTTAATTGTAATTGTTCACTACACTTACGGATTATTGTACTGATCTTCCAATCTTCACAATTTTTGGCAAATTAATCATTAATTTAACTTTTTTTTTTTTTTTTTTTTTATTTTGCACTTATTTTATTTGGACAAGTCTAAATGGCATACTTTGAAATGACATTAATTTTGATTTTAAAATTAGCTAAATTTCAACTCAGCTTGATGTTGGTTTTAAAAGAAAATCTTTGAGCACTTCGAGAGAAACTGACACGCATGTCTCTTCTTTGAAAGGAAAACACCAGTAAGTTTTCTATATGAATAAAATCTGTCTGTAACTGAAGTTTTTGAAAATTTTAAATTTAAATAGATGAATAAAAATTAATTCCTTAATCTGATAACATTTTAAAATTCAGAATTTCTAAATATAACAGAATTTAAATTTTCGAACATAAGAGAAATGAGCAATTTGAGGAGAATGTGTGGCTTTTCATGCTCAGTTAGCAATTTTAAATTTTGATAGAATTAAATACAGAGCAGAAGAATAAAGCATGCATTTTCTTGATTTTACTTATTATTTGTATTATATTTACCACCGGTATTTTACTAAAAATAATTATTTACCAATATTTCCTTATTTCCTCGTAAGTTTTCTTCTTGTTATTCCTAATTTGTACATAAAATTTGCACTTCATTATGAAATATGATTAAAATATATATTGAAATAATGATGGAAAGCAAACTTCAAACTTTCTTTAGAACTTCTATAAAAATACCTTTTCTATTAAACTGCTATTTTAATTTTTGTGAAGAAAAAACGTAATTTATTTGCTTTGATAGGAATTATCGATCAGTACAGTAATTGCATTAATTTTAAATCATTTGCACTTTTTTGGTAACATTAAAAATTATTTTCATAACCAAAATACCTGTTTGTATAACTTAAGGTCATACTTTTCAATGAAACACTTTTATTTTTTATGCTGTTTTTTTCTCTTAATTTTTTACTAATACGGAATATATTTTCAAGTTTTAATTGCTTCTGATTAAATATTTGCAAATATTTTAACTGTTTAATTAATTAATTTCAAATTTAAGTGTTATGACTGATTACTTAGGTTGATAGGAACGCAAATTATGATTTTATGATGATCTTAAACTAATTTGAGATTTTATTTTATTATCTTTTGTTATTCAGGTAAATAAATAGAAAAATAAGCTTTATATTTCTATTTGTTTACCTGAACACACCAGACCATATTATGGGGAAATAATACGGTCTTAAATTTATTTTAACATCATCTATTCATTTTATTTATATTCAATGGATTTAATAAATCATTCAAAAATTTAGGACAGTGTCTGGTGTATATCTCAAAGCAATCATTTGTAAAGGAGTTAAATAGCTGAGAACATATTTCTTTGTTAAATTACTCAGTATTAGAATATATCTTTCGGCTTCAAAAAGGACTCAGTGTCAAACTTCTTAAAGCATGCGTCCTTTAGTTATCAGAAGTTAATTTAGTTAATGATTAACCACAGTTATTTCTCTTTGTACAATCCGTAATGTCTTTTATAAAGGAAACAACAAGAAGCAAGAATCCAGGTATTTTTAATGGAGCTGTAAAATGTCCGGAATTGTTTAGTCCACCTTTATTGTAATCAATTTAGAAGCTTACCGCAAATCTTAATGTATCCGAGAGGCTTCAATTGTATGTAATCTTTTTTTTTTTTTTTTTTTTTTTTTTTTTACGTAGTTCCCATGGAAGCAATCATGGAGAGAAAGAAGGGAAACGGTAAAAACAAACAAACTGCGTATTCTTCTAAAGAGAAATACTCGTAAGTAAATTTTTAGCTCAAAACTGTTTGTTTTGCAACTCAAAATAATTCGAACTCCTGTGATCCTTTCTCTGAAAATTAATACTTTAACCGTAATTTTAGCCTTTTGATTTTCAATAAAATTTTAGAGAAAAGTGGGGAAATAATGGGACAAAATACTTAGATTCTTGTCAGATTTAATAGTTGAACAGGTAATATACAGGGTATTTCAGTAAATCTGTTACAAACTTTCAAGAGAGATAAAGTACATCTAGACGATGGAAAATCACATCGCTTTTCTTGGCGCGGTAGTGACAACACAAAAAAGAAGACCACGAACAGAGTGAGAAAACGTGTTTGCTATTCTTGTTGCAGAAGAAACCAAGAAATAAGAACAACAACACACGATCATCATCAAAGATGGTGTTTGAAATTTCGTTCGAAACGTATTCGCGAGTGGTCGCGTATAAATACCGGTACTTAATAATCATACTATTCTTGTCTAAGAAAGCCGCTTCCTAATCCGGCACAGACAATCAAATACATTTATTTATTGGCCAGCGAAAATTACCATACTTCACTTGCATTTATTACTTCCTTTGGAAGTACGTCAAGATATTGGTGTACGAAACCCTGTCAGAAGTGCTCTGTAACTTGTTGCAAGTACCGTGGCAAGCACTGAGGAAGTCCCGGGACATGCCTGGTATATTTCAGAGCATCAGATCTTCCATGCGCCGAAGATGTGACCCAGCATCACGGTCCGGAGTCGTAATTTCGAATACCTTCTGTGATAACGATCTTTTTTTTTTTTTTTTTTCTTGGTTTCTACTGTATTAAGCATAATAAGCATGTTTTCTCACCCTCTTAGTGTCCTTCCTTTCTTGTGTTTTATGTTGTTATTACCGTGCCCGGAAAGCATTTCCGACCATGCATTGCTATGTGATTTTCCATTGTGTAGGTGCACTCAATGTCTCTTGAAAGTTTGTAACCGATTTGCAGAAACACCCTGTAATATGTATTTAAGGTGATTCTAAAGTGTTTTTACAAATTAAGAAGGATGATAGTACTCATCCAGATGAGCAATAATTACCATAGAACACAGGGTCGCATTCCCCTCTGAGAGGCAGAGACTTTTGGTCTCGTTCATTTGCTCTCCCAACACTGTTGTAAGTTCAGGTTGGAATTCCAATATTCCTCTTTTCTGCCTTTAAGAGTGGAATGCAACCCTATGTTCTATGGTAATTATTGCTCATCCGGACGAGTACTATCACCCCTCTTAATTTGTAAAAACAATTTAGAATCGCCCTGTATATATATATAATATTTTGGCAATAATAAGCTGTAATATTTTGGCAATTGGGCTCATGAGTGAAGCTTTGCAATCCAAGGACGACACAGAAGGATTTAAATTTATAGCTCTATATCTTTATTCAAGTCAAAAGGCGTATTATCACTCTTTACTAAATAAGATTAAATTCACTGCGTCATAGTATTCTAACAAAGAGAGGCATATGAGAGCAGCAGCATATATCTTAACAGCAGTAGAGGCCCCCGCCCTCAGAACGGGCGAGCAAAGCATTAGTACATTAGTGAAGCAAGAAGTATGAGAAAAGACATGAAGAAAAACATCCAGGTCATAGCTTACAGGCTTTAACTATGCCCTATCATAAATCATGATCTTTCTCATATAATTATATTTTTTTTTCAATTATATAACTATTATTTATAAATAAACATAAAATCTATAACTAAATTTAGACAATAATATTTGGAAGAATAATACTAAATAATAAATTGCAATCATAAAAGTCCTCAATTTTTCTCAAAATGTCCATTGAAAAGTAAAAGTTTTGTTGTAAAGTCCTTTTCGTAAAAATAATTAAAATCGAATGAAAATACTGGTTGAAGTCTCTTGATGCCAATAAGTCCATAAGATAAAAATAAGTTGATAGATATTATGCATTTTTTTCAATGAATATTGTTCCATAATAAGTTTTGAATTGAAATTTTTGCGGAACATTTTTTCATATAAAACTTAGAAGATATATAATTTATGCATAATGTATTATCAGGTTCAGTGTTCCTCCTTACATGCTTTGGGAACATTAAATGACCTGACTCGGAACAGGGAGCTTACTAAAGCTATGTTCAATAAATGTGGGAAGTAGACAAGATACACAGGAAGGGTATACGAAACCCTTTATTTTTCTCTCTTTATAATAATTTCCGGACTTCGGAATACAGAGACCAACCACTTGTGGTCTGAAACGTAAGAATATAAAAATATTAACTAAACTCTAACTAAACTAACTTTGGAATAATAAACAAGTGGCCTACGTGAAGATTGGCCGTATATTAACAGAAAGCCGTATGTAGTACAGAGAACTGTTAACACTACAATACGTTTAAAATTATCAAGAGGATTAAACCTCTGGCCTGGAAGGCAACCAGCAACCGAGTAAAACTTCTAAGGCAAGCGGCCTGCTTCGACTAACACTCCTTCCTCTCTATCGCTTGGCAAAAAGCCACAACTTAAGTACTTGGCGTTCGCCAGACAAATTTGCATAAATAAGTTAAAGCTTTTAATTCTGGCCGGAAGTAGAAAATAAGAAGTGATAGTAAAGATTTAAAATAAAATAAACGTTAGTAAAACTTAAGATCCTTACATACTTCCCGCCAGAGTTAATTAGTTTGAAACTGAGGTCTAAAACGACCTTGTTGAAAACTTTTAGCTCTAGAATCTAACGCGAGGCCAATCTTTTACAAACATTTCTCACTAGAAACTAGAAATTTTAAAAAAAAAATTTGTTTTTACAATAGCAGCTCCATGGACACGCATTTTTTTCATCTGTACTGCATCTAAACAGGAGCTTTTATTCAAATCTGGTTCCTTCCAGAGATCTGGAAGGAAAACTAGTTTAATGAAATGTTACACAATGAAATGGCAAGTAACATGCATATTTATATTTCTCTTAACATTCTTATTTCATTCATGACTATTTTAATTATCTCTCCCCGTGCTCTCTGACATGTGTTGTAAAAGAACACCAAACACGAATGTGTTTATGTATACGTGTTCAACACTTCCTCCTACAATCAAAACACTAACGTGTTAAAATTCAACATACCAAGACCTCGTAACACACCCTATCTTCAACTCTAAACCCTGAGGTACTATTCTGAAAGTGGCTAACTCTGAAGTGTAGCGTCAGAGAGCCTAACTACATTCATTCAACCTTTAACACATATTCACCATAATTTGGTCTTTTTACAGTCACACGAATAAATTTAAAAATTTTTGGCATTACTTTCACTTTTACCATATCACAGTATTTCTTAACATTTAAAATAACAGTTCACATTGTATATAAGAACATATTAACATGCCGTTAATTTTACGCATTTTAAAACATACATTAGTAGTACATTGTTAACTTCTATTCTTTTCCAAGCAAGTGCCAATTCTTCTACATTGAAATACTACATTTCAAAAGTCTTTCAGACTAAAACTTCTTTCTTGCCAGAATGTTTTAAATAAAATTTTATACAATAACTTTTACAATATTCAAGTATTTACACATTCCTATTATACATCAACTTTAGTTTTACTCGCGAGTAATTGAAAAACATAATACCAAAATCGGTAACAACTCATTTCTCGCCTTTTTGGCGATAAAGGTAGACCTCACATGAGGTAAAACTTCTTGAAATCTGCCACTTGCAGTAAGAATGAAAGATTAACTTAAGTTTGCAAAGTAACATAAAATTTTACTTATCTTTGTGATATTCGGACATTCTTTTTTCTGCCCAGTCCTGGAAGGTAGCGAAGATTCTAGTTTGATTTATCCTCCTTCTTGTGCGGGCTCGCCCTTCAGTTCCTTCCTCTAGAAGCTTTCTTTTCCGTCCAGTTCGGTCACCCTTGAATACCTTCTTTTTCGCCTCTGCCTGTGGTCCTGGCCGTTTGATGGCAGCTGGTCTTGGCGGAACCGGGACACTTCTCTCTCGTTCCTGCTTGGATCCTCGTTGCTGGCCGTTCAAATTTTCCTTGTAACTTCTTTGCCTCCGCCGCTGGTGTTCCCTTCCGCAATTCGGCGACATTTGCTGCGTAGAGTCCTGTCCGATGAGTAGATCTTCCGTTTTAGGGAGCCGGGTTATAGTTGCCGTTATTTTCTCCTGGCTCTCTTTGCATTCGTCGTACTTCTCCCTTCTTCATTCTGGGGGTGGTTCGTGCTCTCTCTTTCTGGTCGGTGGAACGGCTTCTTTTTTTCTTGTTACCTTCAATTTTCCAATGGGGAAACTTTCTTTTCAATTGCTCCTGCCTCCTAATGGCTTGCCCTCGTACTTGTCGTTGTTCCACCCCTGGAGCTTGTGCCTGCCGCGCCGGATCCTGCAAAAGATCTGTATATATTTGCATTTTATTACGATCATAGTAATGGTTTTATTTGATCAATGTTTGCGGAGCATGTTTCACCATTCCTGGCTTTTAACACCACTACAGCATGAGTTATTTTTTTATGACATATGGTCCTTCAAATCGTGGAAAAAATTTGGCAGTTTTATCTTCTGGTGCTGAAGAAAGTGAATGCTTAATTTTTAACACTTCATTCCCTACTTTATAAGTTACTCCCCGTCGTTTCATATCATAATACAGCTTTTGTTTTCTCTGTGCTACTTCAGTGTTCTTTTTTGCTTCTTTAATTAATTTTTCTATATCACCCATTTTAAATTCTGGGGCTCTTTGTTGAACATAAAATAATTTATCTAACGGCGTTATAATCTTTCTGCCTAAAAATAACTCAGCAGGAGTTTTGCCCGTTGTATCATGTTTTGCGGTCCTAAGGGCGAAAGCAAATTCATTGACATAGTTATCCCAGCTTTTATGAAAATTTTTAACATAACTACGGATAATTTTCACTATATTTCTATTGACCCGTTCCGCTATATTTGATTGCGGCCGATACGGGACCATTTTTAAATGACGTATGCCCAGTTTTTGGCACATGTCTTCAAATATATTACTT